AATATTATGCTCTAGCGTTATATATATGAGTATTTTGAATATTTTAATTATATAGAGTATATTATATTAATATAGTTGTGTTGACTCTTTAACATAATTAAATCACTTATCTTTGAATCATTTTCTATTTAATTTTGTAGTACTTTAGATTTAGATTGGTTTTCATTACTTGGCTATGGATGTGGCATCCATCGTGTGATACTGTAATGTCTTCCTTGTCATTGAAACATAAGGCACATCCGTCCTCCACGTCAGCTGTTTAAAATTATATTTCTTTTTTTTACTAGGAAAAAAACCAAAGCTAAGGAAAAGATGGACAAGAAAAGAAGAAATGTGATGTATCGTAGGGTGGCCTATGAAAGTATGGTGGTTATTAGCTGTTTAGTTGGCCAGCAGCAAAGGTTACCCCTCTGCCTGGGTTTTGTTTTTGACTGCGGAATTCCACAGTGATCAGAGAATCAGAATGTTGGAAATCAATAGCCCTTTTTCCCCTTCCTTGGGGCTATAGTATATATACACATATCTTATCAATGGTTTATAGAAAAACAATAAAATGGAGTATCAGCTGACTTGACTGAAGAAAATTTTTAGTAGGTTGGCTGCGAGTCTAAGAGTCTTCAACGTTGAATCTACTCTATAATCTCTTTGTCATCATCTACGGACTCACTACAAAGTAGGAAGCTAAATTCAATAGCCTGAAAGGAAACATACGCAAACTAATAATACGAATATCAGCTAATATTAGGCTTATGTTTGGTGCAATAAAAATTTGAGATGTTAACGAAAGAAAGGTTGATTAGTCCTCTTTTCCCCTCTTTCAATAAGGTTTTTCTTTAAATATAAACTGAAATGAAATCCATTAAAACAAGAGAGATTTACACAAGTCCTGAAAAAAAAAAAAAAACGGAAACCCTGCTTCTTTCATCATCTTACGCCTACTAAACCTAATAAAAAGTTAGAGATTGATCAAAAGTACAGTAGTTACTGTCCAAATTGTGAAACATCTTGGCTAAATAATATATATGAAGAACAAATCTAGCATCATCTGCAACATCTTTAAATGGCTGCTTATCGATGAACCCCTTGTATTAGAAAAAAGAAGGGTGGAGCCTCCTTTCTTCCGAAATATTACAGTATTAAAATATTATTCCGGTTTTAAATATAAAACCTATTTTATAGTGTAAATTGTAATATAAAATAGATATTATATTAATAACTGAAAGAGTATTAAACATGATTATGATATCCTCCACTTTTCATTTTACCTGCTTGCTTCAAGCAGAGGAGATAAGGAAAAATAATTGTGCATAGACATATTTTACCTTACCTTGCATTTTTACCGTTCAATAAAGAAGGTAGTTTTAAAACACTCAAATAAATTGTGGATATAGTTAGGTTGTAATTGGTGGGGGGAAGGGAAAACAAAAAAGCTGTCCCCTCCATATCCCTCCCGTCCTTTTCTCTCCTATTCATTTCTTATGTACCTAACGATATGCATCAAACACACACACACACATGTATAAATTTATATAGCGTTTAAAACCTTCAAGGTTGGTTTTGATAATCTAACGTCTGCTTTCATTACCACATGTTGCGTAGATAACGTTCTTTAATATTTTAATTTAGGTGTGCAAATTGTATACAATTGTTTGTTTTCCTACATAAAATAGACATGATCAAAAGTGGCCATCCAATTTTGCTTAAGAAGTTCCCTAATCTTTCTAATTCCAAGGACGAAATTCATTTTGTATGAATGTAGGAACCTTATGAAAACTAGAGTTAACAAATTAGAGTTCACGATGACTTGAGGGTATGTATTTATAATTCTAGCAAAGGTTAAGGTCTTTAAGGATTCCTAAAAGCTTAGTAGTTGCACTTGATCATCATGTATGGGATAGCCCCTCCACATGACGCAGCTCCATTATGGTTAATTGAGCCATCAACATCTGATATAACCCAACCACGATGATCTTCTTGAACTGATCATTCATACTAATAATAATTTGAAGAGTCTCCTCAATGGAATCTCACGAAAGTCCATTGAAAGCCTTCTTAAGATCCACTTTAAAAGCTGTGAAGCCTTTTCTTCCAGTTTTGGTTCTCATAGAGTGGGTAACCTCTTAATGTATAAGCAATAATAAAATTGTCGCTAATTACTTTGCCTTCTCTATATGAAGCTGCATGGATTATTTTCACCACTCAGATGATTCATACAAGCTTTGATGATGTTGGTCTGTTGGAGAGAAGTTTAGCGAGAACCTTGTAGCTCATTTTACAGAGAGATAGGACTTAGATCCTTCATGGATATATGGTTTTCTTTGTTGCTATTAAGTGTGATCATTTATCTCACAAATATGTGTGTGTGTGTGTGTGTGTGTGTGTAAAGAAATTCTTGTGATGAATTGGTGTTAGGAGAAAGTGTGTTTTAACCCTCGTAAAATATTATGTGTCCCAGCAGGTCGAGCAATAAAGTTTGAAAGAAATTAATAAACAGAAGGAATTACGATCCATGTAATTGACAGGCGAACAAAAAACTTTGAAATTGCTTATCACATAAAATAAAAGTCAACACAAAAAAATTATTTCTACATATATAATTGTAAGCATAAAAAGCAAAGCTTTAAGCACACAAATGAAATGGCATCTGGTTCAACTGAAAAGAACTACTCCATTTCCTTCGAGCAAATACTGAGGATTTGAAACAATATGAATAGAAAAAAAGTTATGTTTAAAAAAATATTTATAATTAGACCTAACAATACTCAAATATAACTAAATATAACGATACATGATCCAGAAAATGAAGCATAAAAAAAAAAGACTGAAAGAATATTAAACATGATTATGATATCCTTCACCTTTCATTTTTACCTGCTTGATTCAAGCAGAGGAGATAAGGCAAAATAATTGTACATAGACATATATGCCTTTACTTTGTATTTTTACCGTTCAATAAAGGAGGTAGTTTAAAAGCATTCAAATGAATTGTGGATATATTAGTTAGGAGAAAGAAAAGCTGTCCCCTCCATATCCCTCCCGTCCTTTTCTCTCCTATTCATTTCTCTTGTACCTAACGACATGCATCAAACATATATATATACATATATATATATATATGGCTTTTAAAACCTTCAAGGTTGGTTTTGATAATCTAACGTCTGCTTTCATTACCACAAGTTGTGTAGATTACGTTCTTTAATATTTCGGCGTGCAAATTGTATACAATTATTTGTTTTCCTACATCGAATAGACATGATCAAAAGTGACCATCCAATTTCGTGTAAGAAGTTCCCTAATCTTCCTAATTCTAAGGACGAAACTCATTTTGTATGAATGTAGGAACCTTATGAAAACTAGAGTTAACAAATTAGAGTTCACGATGACTTGAGGGTATGTATTTATAATTCTAGCAAAGGTTAAGGTCTTTAAGGATTCCTAAAAGCTTAGTAGTTGCACTTGATCATCATGTATGGGATAGCCCCTCCACATGACGCAGCTCCATTATGGTTAATTGAACCATCAACATCTGATATAACCCAACCACGATGATCTTCTTAAACTGATCATTGATACTAATAATAATTTGAAGAGTCTCCTCAATGGAATCTCACGAAAGTCTATTGAAAGCCTTCTCGAGATCCCCTTTAAAAGCTACGAAGCCTTTTCTTCCAGTTTTGGTTATCATAGAGTGGATAACCTCTTAGTGTATAAGCAATAATAAAATTGTCATTAATTACTTTGCCTTCTCTATATGAAGCTGCATGGATTATTATCACCAATCAGATGATTCATACAACCTTGGATGATGTTGGTCTGTTGGAGAGTAAGTTCAGTGGGAATCTTGTAGCTCAATATTTTACTGAGAGATAGGACTTAGAGCCTTTAAGGGTCTATTTTTATCTTTTCTTGCTAATAAGTGTGATCATTTATCTCACAAATATATAGAATCAGAATTTATTAAAAAAGAAAAAAGAAATTCTTGTGACGAAGGAAAATGACCACTCCCTTTCCTTCGAGCCAATATTGAGGATTTGAAACAGTATGAATAGAAAAAAGTTATGTTTAAAAAAATATTTATAACTAGACCTAACAATACTCAAATATAACTAAATATAATGATGCATGATCCAGAAACTGAAACATAAAAAAGGTTACATTTGAAATAAGTCACATTGTATTGATGATGTCGATTACACAGTGACATTTCATATGGGGATATGGATAAGAATCTCTGAAAGCCTGAAAGGTGACGGATAAATCCGATTTTTGCAGTTTTAAAGAATGAAAAATATATGGAGACATGCATGATTAAACCTGAAAAAAGAAGCATTCAAAAGGCCGCTAGATGCCAAATTCCAACAAGAAATATTCCTCCAAATCCTTTCACGAGCAAACTTTCAACCATTTCTTCTGCCTTTTGGCCCCATAGTTGTCCTCATCTGTCACTTGACATCCACGTTTACACTTAACTCTGCTCTGGATTTCTTTTTCCCCACATTTCTTAAAATTAAAACACACGACTGCATGTTTAATTTATTAAAATATCTGAATCTAAATCAAATTTCAAAAATTCAATTTATACAACGAACAATATTAAAATAAAAATTTATTTCCAACCTTTTATTTAAGTAATTTTAGTTACAACATCCTAATGAAGTATAAAAATTATTTTTAAAAAAAGAATTATTATGAAGTCCTAAAGAAGAAATCCAAAACCTGTTGTTATATGCTATGACCTTGTTGTGTTTATAGTTCTTCTTTTAGAGTTTTAGTTCTCATGGTGATTAATTTTTCCTTAAAAAAATCCCATTATTTCCGATAGATATTTTAATTATAAGATAAGGAGGGAATCCAATGACCACTTTACCACTTTACACTGTCGCGAAAGTCCCTCGTGATCTCATGTCTCGCCATTCACGGGTTCATAACTTGTGGTTCTGCTTTCTTCTTCACTTGATACCTTCCTCTTTTAAATATCCGCACAACAACATTGTTGGAGCCACTAAAGAAGTATCGTCGTCGTCGTCATCATCATCATCATATATTCCTCTTGTAATAAATATCTCAGCAAGATGGAGGCGACGGTGAAGAGGATGAAGATTAATACGGCGGCGTTGGTGGTGGCGGTGGCGGTGGCTGTTTTATTTGTGGGAGGATCAAGAGGGTTGAGTCTGTGTAACATGAATGATGAAGGAATAGAAGCTTGCAAGCCATCAGTGATTGAACCAAACCCAGTGGATCCATCCGCTGAGTGTTGTAAGGCAATTTCTGGGGCTGATTTGCAATGCCTTTGCTCTTACAAGAACTCACCTGAGTTACCTCTTTTTGGGATTGATCCTAATCTCGCCCTCTCTCTTCCTGCTAAGTGCAATCTCACTCTTCCTTCCAATTGCTGAGTCTGATCAGTGTTTGTGATTGTACTTGTGATACTGTGTGTGATGATACTATTCTGTTTCTAAAGATTTATGTAAACATCATTATTAGTTGCCAGTGTGTCCGCTTATGGATTGCTCAATAATGCATAGAGTTTTGTGAGGTATGAGATTTTCTAGTGCTGCAATTACAATACGGACAAGCTTTTACTACATGCCTCAGTGCAGAATAGGGATTATATAGTAGAATTACATATATTTATTTGTGCGCGTGTGTATAAAATTAAAATTTACTACAAAACAGAAAAGTATATACTACATATCCTATTGGCAATACCCTTTGTAACATAAGGCCAAGGTTGGGGGAAGCCTGTGGGAGATCCCAAGACTTGAGGGTTTGCATTGTAAGAGAAAATAGGAAATTTGAGTAACATATTAAGAATTTTAACATGCCCAATCTCATTACTTTGGCATGATTAAGATTATATGCATTGGTTTGATGTACAAAAAAAGTTACTACCTCCGTTCTTTAATGTAAGACTCTGTTTGATTTTTATTTTAGTCTTAAATATAAAATCCTCAATCTACTTTTTTCTCATATTTATCTATTTTTTTTAAAAAAGTAGTCTTTCTAATAATAATGGTTTTAATCAATACACTTGGTTAGTAAGAATATTTTAAAAAAACTAACACATATTTATTACAAATAACTAACTTAATTTATTTTCTTAATCTATTCAAATTAGTCAACTAGTTCTTATATTTAGCACGGGGGTACTATGTTGTATTAGAAGTCAACAAGATATATCATATGCTCCACAATCCGAATAACTGATAAACCAATAATGTGTGTATAATTACCTTATGGCTTTTAATATGCGCCAAACGAACCCTTAATTTAAGGATAAACTGGGCAACTGAGCTGATGATTAATTGCATACCTTTAATAAAGATCATTTCCCTTTTGACTATGGACATTACCATCGCAGGGTAAATAACAAGATACGAGTTAGTGCGCTTTGCAAATCATGAGAACATTCATCATTTATGCTGTCAAATTCCATGGGACATCATATAAAAATAAAAGCGTTTCTAGACGTACGTTTTTGTTTTATCGGCCCTCGAATAATTGATTTTTTTTGTAAATTTAAATTTCTCTTGAACCTTGGTTATTTAGTCATTTCTTCAAAAAAATTTCCCTGTGTTGTACGGATGATATGAGCTATTTGGGAAAACCATATTGAAGGTACCTATACTTTCTCTTCATTTTTAATTTGGTACCTATGTGTTTTTTTCCCTTTAATTAAACATTTAATTTTATCTTTTTAGCAACATTAGCTCTTATAACTTTGTTCTATTGATATTTTTAGTCTCTACATAAGGATTAATGATGTTAATAGAGGAAAAATAAAGATTTAGTTAAGAACAAAAAACACATAGGTACCAAATTGAAAATTGAAGAAAAGTATAGGTACCTCCAATATAGTTTTCCCTGAGCTATTTTGACCGAAAGTAGTCTATATGTTAACTCAAGCAATATATGATTTTCAGGGTCCACACTAGTTGTTTCATTATGTCTATGAGTTGGTGAAATATAATTTTCAACGGAAACAACCCACAATGTTCAACTTCAACAAATTCTTGGATCATCTTTCATTCCTTGGTGAAAAAAAAGGCAGAAGTCTTTCACAATTCATCAATTGCCTAAAACTAACTTCAAATAACAGTGAACAAAAGAATAAGTGATTAACCCTAGCTCCAAAAAGACACATCAATAGTTTGATTAACATTTGGGAAGATCAGATGGTGGAGGTGGCAGCTTCTGATGATGTCCCTTTCCATCTTGAACAATCCAAGCCATCTTCAAGCCCCAACTTGTATGCACCTCAAGGTGGCAGTGCATGAACCACACCCCTACATTACAAGCCCAAACAACACCCCTCAATCAAACAATATTTATATATATATATTAATTTTATGATAACTTATAATTAACCATACGTACCAATTACATTATATATATATATATATTTATATATAAGAGGAAGAGTCTCAGTGTAATAGTAAAGTTGTGAGAGTTCAAATCTTAAAAACAGCCTCTCTCTCCTTACGGATAAAGGTCGTGTCCATCTATTCTTTGTATTTAGTAGGAGCTGTGCACTGGGCCTCCTCTACATATATAAATGTATATTATATCTTTAGAAAAATTTAAGAAAATGATTGTTGAATTTCAAAATACCAAATCAGTATTTGTTATTATATTCGTAAAAAAATTGACTATACTCAAAATGTAGTAATTTCTAATTTAGAATTTTGAAATTCAAAGTTTTTTTTTTCCTGTATCTTTTTGAGTTATTGCACTAACCTGGGTTGTCTGCAAGGAAACGAAGAGCGACCCAGCCACCAGATGGTACACCAACAGTGTTCCTCTCAGCGGGATCAACCAGATTGAATTTCAAAGGGTCTTTTTTAGGGTCAAAGTTTCCAATACCTTGACCCACAACGAAGAAGTTAAATCCATGAATGTGAAGTGGGTGGCTCTCTGCACCGATAATACTTGTGTCCTGAAGAACAAGCTCCACACTAGTGTTATAAGGCAACAACACCACCTTAGTCCCAGTGTTCATCACAATATTGCTTGGTGGGGTCCCAGTGTAGTTGAATTTGAAAGGTGGGTTTATAGGAAAATCAGTGGTATATACTCCTTTGGATTTGTTGAAGAAGTGGGCTTGAAGTAAAGCTACGTTTGGCTGCACGAAAGAGACATTGTTAATGGAAGCTGCGACTCTTGTGTTGTTAGGTCCTTGGCACTTTTGGTTTGGTGGGCACCGGAGAGTTCCTAACCCTACGGTGAAGAAGAAGCGTTTATCAACAGTTTTTGGAACTTCTGCTGGGAATTTTGCGTTGGCTAAGCTTCGAATCTTCTTGTTGAAGTTCATTGAAAATGTTGTGTCATTGAACTTTGGAAGAGATGGTTTAAAGAGAGGAAGTTTGTGGTTCTTTTGGTTAGGGTTTAGTGTTGGCGGTGACTTATTCTCGTAATGTAGAACCCCGGCGGTGGTGGTGTTGTCGAAGGTGGCCGGACCGGTTGCATAGGGTCTGGCAGCGATGAGGAAGGTGGCGTTTGGTGGGTTAGGGTTTGTTTTGAGAAGGACGTTCATAGTTTGACCTGGTGTGATGAGGACAACGTTTGTTTTGAAAGGTTTTACGTAGACAGCGTCGGTTTCTACGACAGTGAGTGTGTGATTGGCAATGCTAAAGAAAAGCTCGTCATTCAGTGCAGCATTAATCAAACGAAGCAGATAGGTTTTTCCTGGTTCCACGTTAAGCTTGAAGGTATCTGCATGAAGGAGAACAATAATTTATATCAAAAGGCAAGTTTGATATATAGATATATATGTACATTCCGAGAAAATCAAAGCAATTTAGTATTAAGAGTTTTATCATCTAAGTAAGAACATGATATATACTTTTAGAGGAACAATTGTAGAGAGGACCAGGAAGGCCATTAATGGTGTAAGCATCAGAGAGATTGGGTGCTGATCCAGTTTGCATTGCCTGATTAATAACAGTTTCTGTATCTGCTTTCCACCATTCTCCTGCAATTTTCAGATAATATCCATATCCATGTCAAAATAACTGATATGATTACTGAGGTAACTTAAACTGACCAATGTATATGTATAATAGTTACCAAATGTGAGGGTTTCTTCTTTGAAGGGTTGGGGGAATGGATAAGGGACATGTTTCTTAGGGAAAATGATGATGGGACCATAAAGAGTAGCTCTGAGCCATGAGATGTGAGCATGCCACCACAATGTGCCTCTTTGACCAGTAACAGTGAAGTTATAAGTGTAAGATTGGCCACTTTGAATTGGGCATTGTGTGATATAAGCAGGTCCATCTGCCCAACCACTTCTCAATTGCCTCACACCATGCCTGCAACCAAATTATTATGATCAAAACAATTATCACTTGTCTCAGATAGAATGAAGTTTCATTTTCTTGTTGTCCATAGTACATACCAGTGGATGGTGATGTTGTTCTGAACATGGTTAGTCACTTTGATCACAAGCCTATCTCCTTCTCTTGCTATGATTCTTGGCCCTGGAAACTGCCCATTTACAGTCACAATGCTCTTTGTCTGACACAACCTTGTCAACTTCTGTAATTTGATCTGCACAAAACAAAAACAAAAATAATCACAAATTAATCCTTAATTACCTTTTTGCATTGCATCAGAATGGTTCATATGAATTAATGAATTGAAATGAACAGGACGTACTTCAAAATTGTGTTGCCTTGTGACTTGTGCATGCTTCGCAAGTGTCAGGTCTGGCAAGAACAGAAGAGCACAAAGTAGAAGACAATTATATGCAGCTCTCGACAAGGTAGGTGACAAAATAAAGCCAGAAGCTGCCATTGATGCTGATAATGTCTCTATATGAAGTACTAGAACCTGTTTGGATGAAGAGAAAAAGGGGAAGTGAGGGAGCTTATATAGTGGGAATTGATGAAAGGGTTTGGATATATAATTTGGTGATTGAAAATGATATGTTGCAGACAGACATGAATTGGTTTCAAGAATTGATCTATGTTGGATCCATCTACTTGCTGGCTTAATTAATCTGACATGTTTTGAATCGTAGAGTGAGGTTCAAGCTAAGTTACGTTAATCATATAATGTATGTAGGTTGTTTTAGAAAATGACTCTTGCTTGTTCAATTTGGTCCAACAATACATTCTAACGGTTAACTAGATTGTGTCATTGTTCAACATCTTTACGATTGCTATATTCACAGACAATGATGCTAAAAGACGAAGATTTTTAGGACCATAACTATTAAGGAGGTAGCTATTTTATTTTCAAAATTAAAAGAGGGGTTAGGTTAGGTATGTTACCAATTATTTAAAAGGATCAAAACTGATTTTACATCTTTTTCAATGAACCTTGGCAGCTAGTTTTGTTGGGAAGTTGAATTCTTTACAATCATAAATAAATATATTTAGCTATAAAAGGTGCTTATTCCCGGATGTGATATCTTGTCCCATGTAATTGATTCAGTTTATTTTGGAGAGATCATATTTAACCTTTTACCAAATGTATAAAACAATAACCTTCCAATAAAGTTTCATTTTTTTAAAAAAAAAAATCAATTTGATCCGTTTTATAATGAGGAGTTTGAAAAACATGAAACAAATACTTGGTTTAGAAATTCATCCCTTGCAATCTTATAATTAGAAATATAACATACTAAATGAAGCAACCTTGTAGCTGGTAGTCAAGAAGGCTTCAACCTCCCACGGTTAAGACTTGCTAATTAAGGCAAATAAGATTAGATGCAAATAGTGTGGGTGGTTGATATTTTATCCATACATATATATAATCTCCACAACTCAAACTGCTTTTGATGTTACAGCCATTAGTCTCCATCTTAATGAAGCATTGCCTTTTGGACAAAAAGATATTCATATTGGTTTTTGATTTTTAAGAGTATATATTGGTAGAGTGTTGTAATAAATAGGATAATTAATTTAGCACTTCAATAATTGTCTGGAAATTAATTTTGGAGGACTACCTTCTAGAAAAGTTGGGACACAACTTCTAGTTTATGATGAGTAAATAAAATTAAAATATGAGATCAATTTACATTCAGTTTAAAATAGAAAAAATTGCAAATAAAAACCCCCAATATGTTAAATTGCGATTTGAAACTCTCAATTTAGAAAATGATAGGTAAAGACCCGGTCTCATTATAAATATGAAATCTTGGTAAATGTCTGAAAAGCCCCTCAGCCAAATTGTGATTTGGTCTACTGAAGTTGTTATTTGCTAAAGTGAACTTGTCATTTCCCATAATCAACTTATCATTTGGCTGAGAGGCATTTCAAACATTTCACCAAAATTTCATGTTAACAATATGAGACCAGGTTTTTATTTGTCATTTTCTAAATTGAGGGTCCCAAATCACAATTTCATATATTATGGGGTCTTTATTTGTCATTTTTCCTTCAAAATATTATAAACTGACAGAAAAAATCTAGGTCAAATTTCTTATATCTATTATATCAAATTCTCTAATCACATATGGTGATGTGACCTCTATTTTCACATAGATTTATAATAAATACTAGCATTTCAAAAATAAAATATATATCATGTGTGATTGAAAAATTTAACAGTTGACATAATTGATATAATGAATTTGATGTAAATATTACCCTAAATGCGTCAAACAAATTAAAAAGTGCACTTAATTATTTTCATAATTCTAATTATTATAAGATTGTCTAATACTACTAGTTTTCTAAAATCCAACTTCAACTCAAAAGTATGCCTCATTGGTCTGCCCCCTTAATTATTAAGTGTAGGTGATAATCATCATGTTCGTTAAACATCATTCTAAAATTCTACAAATAATAAAAGCTTTAGACATCATGAAACTTTGGCCAAAAATCAAATATTGAATATTAGTTATTAATTAAATTAAAGCTAAAGATCATCTTTGATGTATTTTTCATATGATGATCCCCTTTTTGAATTATCGTTTTGCTGGTGGCCATGAATTTGTCTGGCCTATTTAAGCGTTGTTTCTGGATCTTTGCACTTATTATAACCACATAATAATTAATGTAAAATATAAAAATTTTAATATATAAATCATAAATACTACTCGTACAATTTATTTCTCAAATCCTGTTCAAGACATGAAACACGTTTATCATGATAATAAGACTTTTTTGATTCAAATGCAAAAGCAAGCATCTACTAAAATCATTAAATTTTCATTTGGATACACTTATAAGAATCTATATGAATGCTTTTTCCATTTTTACCCCCGGCGGTACACAATAAACTTCAATCCAAATAAAAATGTCTCACAAATTTCTGGGTTGTTCACCTCAGTTCTCTCTATAAAAATATGTCGAACTATGTTAGCCACCTAATTATATAACGTTACAAAAAAAAAAAATTCTGCTCATCATATAACCAAATAACATCCAAGGATCCTATCAGTTTTCTCCAAACTTTACTGCCCATTAAAGAGAAGTAAGAAAGAAGAAAGAGCTTTAATTTTTTTTTCTTTTTTTTTTTTTAAAATGCAATACCATATATCTAAATAATTATCAAAATAGTGACATTTTTACCTATTTTCTTATTAATTCATGCATTAATTCTTAATAAATATTTATTCACCAATAATGTAATTTATAGCTATTAAGCACACTAAAAGAACTCAGACATGCATGAATTAATATATAGTTATTTGAACATATCAAGCTTGAATAGAAAGGCTATATCCTTACTGCTCAATTCACACCAAAAACAAGACACCGGACCAAGCACTAAACTAGTCAAGATAATGAGTTAAAGATCAGTGAGTCAAGTCGGGATTAAACCGGTGATTATTTTAAAAAAAATAATTTAAACAAAATTTAAAAAATATTCATTTTTTATTATAAAAATATATTTTAATAGAAACAATATTTAAAAATATCTCATCAAATAAACATATGTTTGCGTAGAAAATGGGTGACTTGGCTTTGGAAAACGAAAAATGAAGAAAGAGTACTAATACTGCCTGCAACATGTCAACTGTCATTAGTGCCTTTTCCATCTTTTCATTTTCATTTTGAATACTGGGATTGTGGCCTCATCGGAACTCCTTTCTTTATTTTCCGATCTTCATCTCACATAAAAAAACTCAAGTGCTCACCTCCTGAAACATATTTTCTTCCCTCTTCTATTCTCTCAACCTTTTAAAAGAAGTTTTTCACTTCATTTTTCATCATGATTTTTCAGAAATTTTCTCTTCCAGTAAGTTATTTTTTGTATCTCTTCTTATTTTCCTTCTCTTCTTTCTCTCCCTCTTACTCTATTTTTCAGATGAACTTTCTTCTTATTTCTGATGACTCTTGAATGTTCTGAGTAAGAAAAAAATATTGAATCAGATGATCCACTCAGACCAGCGGTTTTCCCGAGTTATTTCAGGTTCATACTAGGTAAGTCTAGTTTGTACCGGTTTAATTTTTTTCCCATTTAGGTGATAAACCAAACGAAAAACTGGTGGGTTGGCCGGTTTCCGACCTGAACCAGCCAGTTCGGTTTTTAATTCATTGATTCACACCCAAAAGGCTTTCTCTCTGAACAGTCAATAAAACATAACTTTATATACACAAACTCACCAGCAAGTACGCAAAGCTCACAACTTACAACACAGGTATGGACCATAGCTCATTCCCCATTTGGATAAGACCGCCACAAGGGCATCTACTCACTATTACATAAAACTTTAAAGAGAGAATCTAATTTAGACAAGAAAAATCAAACCCTAAAGGAACCAAAAAGGGGGAGAAAAAAAAACGTATGAATGGAAAATATATAATACAACATATGATTGTTACGAAACTTGCAAGGCCCTGACACGAGCAGTCAGTTCCCTAACCTGGCTCCTCAAACGCTCCGGATTGCAAAAGAAATCAACAAACACTCGTCTTTGAAGTGCAATCTCTTGTGCATGATGTTTCACAATCTGCGTGCCACAGTGCAAAAGAATTTTCAGTTAAAAACAAACATGATTCACAATCTTAGGAGTGTTAATAATCAAGAAGTTTCTAGGATTGTCCTTCACATTCAAAACTCATGAAAGATTTACCCATATGAGGATACCACTTAATGCCAAAAAATGAGATTAAATTCAATAACCTAGATTAGGTCCTAGAATCATGGACTCTGAAATAATTGATAAGGTGGACGAATGAATGCTGTGGCTATAATGACTTGTTAACTGCCATCCCAGCTAAAACAAAGCATCCATTTGTAAATATTTCCTTCATCCCCATTTACTGGTCTTCACTCTTCATAGGAGGGGGGGGGGGGAAGAACACACCAACGAGAAAGCAACATCCATGCGCTATGTAAGAATTATTTTTTTTCTTTTTGCCCTCCACTTAACCGCACACTATTTAAAATCTTAACTGCCTCTATTTAATACCCTCCATCTATAAAGGGTATTATTGGAAACAAGTATATATATTTAGGTACAAAATGGAAATCTAAATCTTGACAAGCAAATTAGGACAGAGGAAGTAAGACAACCAATGTGAGAGCATTCTAAGGCTATAAAGCAAAATTACCTCATTCTTTTTTACGTGCTCTAATGTCACCTCTTCCACAGCAGCTGAGAGCTTTGCATTGATCTTTTCCATATCATCGAGCTCTTTCATTAATGGCTAAAGAGGTTTGATGGAACAGTCCCAACATCAATCACAATAAAGGCTAAATACCAAGTGTGTCTTAAGCAAAGAAATCTAATTGAGAATGAACAAGAAAAGGAAATTAAAAAAAAAAGGCTAATATGCCCATTTATTTACAACTTTGATCCAGATTCCATAAATGTTCAGGCAATAAACTGTATTACAATGTCAAAATCACTTCAACGACCTCAACTCACAATACTACTCTTGCTGACTGATATATTGTATTGCCAGGAATCCCTCTCCTTATGATGGAATCGACAAAAATAATTGCATCCAATTTTTTTCCAAAAAAGGTCCAGAAGCACCGATATACTTCCACATTTGAATTAAGAATATGTTACTCATTTCGCATCATTTATAAATTGAGATCTCAAAACTGTAGACATCCAAAATCGACAGGAAAAACCACTCTAAATTGACCAATGCCTGGATATACAGTACAGTGTTCCTCCCTTGACGCGTTTAAAATATTATATGTAACAAGACTTTACTGACCTTTTCGCTTAAAAAGCAAATTACACAATCTATAATATGGAAGAAGAAATAGAACACTAATAGCAAAAACTTAAAAGACAGAACAGATTCAGAATGTGATACCCGAGGTGTCAGTATCGGCTGTGCTGTTGTTGAAGATGCAAAGAGCAGTTGTTGAAGACTTTGTATAAGCGTACACCTGCAGAGTTATTTAAAAAATGTAAATACAAAAGTCTATTTATTTTGGTGAAAAGAAGGGGTCAGAAACCCGAAGAAATAACATGCAAAACACAATTAAATGCAACAGAGTATTAAACAGGGCATGATACAACAATTAAAATCAGCAGAAACAAGAATAATTATAGCACTCCACCTTGAATATATCCCACTTTATATGCACATTATGCTGGAGCAGTTATGTGGTAATTGTATATTATAATGTTTACAGTTTTCTTGCTCATTATATCATATATCACTTCCTTTTTCTTCTTAATTTTAGCCCTCACTTGGCCAAGCAATTTCTAAGCACATCTCGCTTCAGGGTGCTAAGGAAGTCCACCATCTTAAGGGCCACTTTCGCCTTAATCTGCCTAGTACAAGACTAACAGTTATGACGTTGAAGATGATGTACTTTTAGATGGAAACTTACAATTCATTAATACACCTATTTCTATCTTCTGGAAGGGAATTCTCTAGATCTGATTGAAGGGACATCAAATCTGAGTGGAGAGCTGATATCTGCTGGACAATGCCTGGTGCTGATACATATGTTGATATTGCAGCTTGAGCATCTAAGAAACATGATAGAAAAAAATGAATATAGATTCTAGGTACATTAGTATGCTAACAATAATGCAGTAACTAAACTAATTATGTCATTATGATTCACGTAGTTCCTCACTTGAATAAACTTTTAGAAGATCTCTAATAGCATGTAGAAAATGATCACTGTCATGTACTCCCCCTTGTTCTTGATCAGACGCAGCTTGAATCAATGCCAGGCAACAGCACTGCAGTAATTACAAAGACAAGAGTTATCAATATAAGGAGAATTAAATAATAATCGAGGAGTGCATGCTAATTCTAAAACCACAGATAGGTGATGAAAGAATAAAATACGAAGATAGCCAAACTCGTTTCCCAATTCGTTTCATGTTTAAAGACTCAGATCCTCAATTAACTCCTATAAATATGGCTATTTACAACCTAATAAAATCATATAATCATATATTAATGATCAGGATTTCCACAGTTAAGTGTGACCGCAACCAGCAATTTGTGGACAAATCATTAGCTAATAATACAACAAATTTTAGCATGTCATCCCTGCCACATAAATTTCCGTACATACATCTTTGTTGAGCTCACATGATCGCATACATATAGCATGTTTGAGATAAGCCCCAAACAAAAATTATGACAGAAATGGTAAAATAGAAAAATATAGGAAAACGCACCACCCGTCCCTCGGTTGCAGACAAGTATGCTTGCAGCTCAGACTCAACAACTTTAAGCAATGTAAATGCTCCAAGCATGTTCTTCTTTTCCAATTGACAGGCTATCTTTAAGAACTGATGCCTAGCGAGCTGATTGATAAGATGGTTTATGAACTGCCAAAAGAATAGGGGAAGCTCATTACCTTAACGAAACACATATATAGAAATTAAAATGTCACAGCTTGTTCAAGGTACTTGACTAATGAAATCAAATCAACTATGTGTATGTATCATCTTCATCAGGTGATTTCCCAAAAAAAGGGATGGTGGTGATGGTGATTAAGAATCAAGATATTTTAGTAAAGTGGAGATAAAATTGAGCTAATATTATAGAATATATCAGGAAAAAAATAAATAGATCAAGCAATGAAAGTATAAGAACATTTAGGTATCCTTCTCAAGAAAGAAACAAATGCAGAACTCAACAGAACAAAACAATATCAGTAATTGTATTAATGCTAGAATGAATGACTTTCCAAGCATCCCCAAGCCCAAACTATATACGACTCTTATACAACTCTTGGAAGGAGAATGCTGTGTTCAGGAATCAGGAAATAGGTTATTCGACCGAGTTTAAGAATCCAATCTAACAGATAGGTAAATGTCAAGTAATTGCCAATAAACTGGGTAACAATTTCAACTTTGAGGATGTATGCGTGAACATAATGAAAATAATCTAATTACAAAAAGCCCTCATAATCATAATTAACAAGTTAAGCTTACTGCTTTCTGCCGATTAATATAGTACTCTTGACGCATGACCTTTAAATCATAATCACCTGCAGCAAAAGAAAATTGAACCATACACAAAGAAAATATTAAAAATTGTCATTCTTCCCACTCATTGAGTGGTTTAGAAAATACCTTGCAAAATGTATGTGTCTTGGAGTTGAGCTAGCTCCCAACACAAATCTGGAATGGTCTAAAGAAGAAAGTATACAAGACCACATCAATGAGTGTATTTATGACCAGAAACATAAGCAACAAATACAATAGCAAGAAGAGATCATAAAATCAAAGAGGCAGAAGTCAGTCAGCTGGGGCACAATTCATCAATATCACATTATCAGTGTTTGAATCATCCACCATCAGAATTCAAGTGAACGCATATTCTCCACCACTTTTTCTCATTAACTTCAGATAGTGCTTGGATAGTAGCCACCAACCACATTGTACAATGGTACATGATATTACAGTCCCCAGTGCCCTGGATATCCTAGTGTATGACGCCACTATATTTAACAGTCTCATGCTTGAAACAGGTATAAACTTGATAATGGACCAGCATTTATGTCAATTAACCTGCAATAAGGTTAAACGATACTTCCAAAACAGCTCAAAAATAAAAAAATAGCTTCCAGATGTGAAAGACTGCAGGCAGTCAATGCTTAAAATATCCACACAGTGCTAGAACGCATGGCAAAATGTTTAGCTTAACAGCCATACAAGTCAAATCACTACTGTTAAAAACAATCAGATATAGCTACCAGAAGGTACAAGTCATGGACACAAGCTACGTGGTCACAAACCTCAGAAAGAAGCTTCTCTTCTCTGTGACGAAGATTTGAGAGTTCAATATCCAATTCAGAATGCTTTCTCCTGCACAATATGCCCCAAATGATACAAAGACATGCAATTACAGGATATTATAGGATCTGGCAACATCTGGCTGAGGAAAATAATTTTTTTCAATGACCCTCACTAAGCAGCTCATATATTGACAAAAGTAGTGCCCAGTTTGATGTTCATTGATCTAATCTAGGCATGATTAACTTATACATCCTAGTTTGGGGGGAGTGATGTATTCTTGATTCTCTTTTTATATTTATTTCATTCTCATTGGTATTATTTTAAACAATCTTTAGTAATGAGATAATTGTAAATTACCTTCAATCTGTAAATAGGTGTGTACGATGTTCATTCAGAAACAAATTTCTTCTCACCTGGCTATCTTCAGAGCTTCTCAAGCTCATCCCCCCTTCTCAAATTTTATTGATCTCTTTGTGACACTCATTATTAACTATTTATTCAGTAAATAGAGAGTGCCATTAACATTTTAGATGCATGCTACAGAAAGAATCTTGCACACAGAAAGCACAAAGCAATATACAAAATTACTAATATTAATATGAAAGCTACAATTTGGGGCAAGTACCTAAGGGAATGAAGATCAAGATGAATATGAGCTTCATCTAATGAGACCTGTGATTTAAGTGTCACTAAAATAGCTTGTTGCTTGGCATTCTCAACCTGAGCCTCCACCCATTGTCTTTCACTTGTTCCAAATCTGTCAAAATTTTGAACAGGCCATTATCACTTAAAGTTGCATATAAGTTTAGAAAAATAAGAGTTAATCCGTCTGAATGAATCAGGCCGCCCCAAAAGCAGATTCTTTTAATGGAGGCTATTATGCCATCAGAAGCTACGCCAAATTTGTTATTGAATGTTAGCAAATGAGTGTACTAGGATCAAACACCATTGACTTCACGTTAATCCCTCCACTTAATACACCAAAAAACTTCATTTTAACAGAAATATGATCTTTTGATGCCAGGGAAATGTGCATACGAAAAGGTAGTTGAAGCCTTTAAGGTGACATGAGTTAGAGAAGGATTAAAGAAAATAAACCCAAAAGCTACTTTACCCAAGATTCAGATAACAAAAGAAACGTGCTACTCAAACAAGCAACATAATCTTTTTACAGCAAATCATATGGTGTGCAAAAAGCTTATCTTTACAACTTCAACAGTAAAAAGCGGATACATGATGAGCAATTCATATAATCATATTCATATTTTATACAAGAAGGTTGTTGGAACCATGTCGCAAATATTTCCAACAGCACAACATAGTTCATATTAATTATTCACAAAATTACAGCAGCAATTTAAATGCAAACAGTATGGGAAAGAAGTATATACATCGAGCGAAGCCGTTGCAGCTCAGACACACGTTGATGATGTGATTTTTCTAAATCTGCTCAACCACAAAAAAAAACTCAATATTATTAATCAAAATTACAGATAAATAAGAATATTTCTGATGAAAAATATGCTAATCCAAACACATGCACAAGCGCATAAACATACATATAGCTCGATGAGGTCCAATATTGGTCATGGTTTATGATATACAAAGAGATTGAACCACTTTTTTGTGGGATACTGGGGGTATATTTCACTGACACTTAATACTAATCTCCCTTGAGGTATTGAAGGCATATAGCCTATCCCTCCCATACAAAGCGGATGGGAAGTAAGTCATAGTAAATCATGAGAATTAGTGCAATATACCTCTAACATAAATATTTGAGATGTCATCAAGGCTGACCCAGGAGCATTTAGATTTTCCCTCCTCAACTACAAGCCGGAATGGACCCTGTTCTCAAATAAATATCAGATAAATGCTGACGCATAACGGACAATATTTCACCTCACACCAAAAAAAAAAAAAAATCATCCAGGGTCCACAGAAACCGGACACAACAGACGGATTATAACCAAATTGATAGGTAAGCCAGTCAAAATGCCACAAAAAACCAACCACACAAAATTGGTAAAGACCACCAACCTAGGACTTCATTCCGGGTAAAGATTAAACAAAGACTATAGAAACTTAGGTGAAATGTTTACCACAAATTATAACTATCAAGCTTTGATTCATTTACATTATTTAATTGATAAAATCCTACTTTTGAGAAGATGAAAAGGTCAAGACAATGTTTTGAGAACATAGACAAGAAATCTAACTAAAACTACTCAATCCAGAGGAGGGTCAATGCTCTAGAAGAACAAACCGATTGTATTGATCAATCTGAAGAACATTCACTGTGATGACTTCATATATATTCACACCTCACCAGAACTAAGTATAACTGGAGTACTGGACTAAGAAAATTCTAATTAACGGACCTACGTATACTCATATACCATCAAGGAGGACAAGACCATAAGTACATTACCCACTTATTTAGTGCCATCAATTGTATTGCACATGCAGTTGAAATGAATATCATTTTTTAAGGTAAATGGCATACTTAAAAATTGATCATTTTTAAGGATAAACAATAAACAGTGAGAAGCAAGAAAGAAATATGGTATTCTGCCAACTTACTGTGTCTAGTTGCTTAGAAAACCACTGGTTTAACTCTTTTAGACAAGATGAATCTCCAAGCAAGTATGGATGAAAGTCAGAATATGCCAAATAAATACCATCTTCTGCATTAGGGAGCAAGTTAATTTATCAAATCTCAGGGGTATGAATTTAACAAAAAAATAAAAAGGAACAAGCTAAAAGCAGAAGATTGCAAGCAAAGCAGGAATCATTAAAAGTATGTCAACATGTCCTGACAATCAGATGGGTCAAACGTGATGACCAGCGAAAAAAAAAAAAGAAAAAAAAAAGAAAGAAAGGATCTTGGATTTTTATATGATCTACATGTAAAATTTAGATAGACTTCCATTTTTCTCCTTTGCTTTCTCTTAGATCTCCGGGGAGGATGTTCATTTCAAAGATTTTCCATATAAGGAATTAGAAAACCCAGGACCAAAACTTGAACAAAGAATCTTGTCGTTTCATCTTTCCTTAGTGTGATTCAATATTGATTCTTTAACAGAGAAAGCTCAAGCTATAGTTATCGAGTTGTCAATTGAGGATTGTAAAACATTTAAAAACAAAAGGCATAGAACAAAATGCATCAGAATTTCAAATCAGCATACAGTTTATAAGGGACAGAAAATTTTGCTTGAAAAAGAAAAGGATTGCTACCTTCTCCAGAATGATAATGAGCCAGCTCCTGCACTGTCGAAGCAATTCTTCCAAGAACTGCATTCATCTGAAAAATAAAAGAAATTGAATACACAACGATTTAAAAGTATCTTGAAGCATACATCTTATGAGCTTACAACAAATGGGGCTTCCTAGAGCGAAGAATCAAGTGATCCCACCATCAAAAGATATATCACAGCTAAATTCCCACACAAGACAAAAATGTGAAGGACTTTGGCGAAGCACCTGTAAGTTTCTTGCTGATAGGCTATCATCAATTGTAGTGAGGTGTCCATTCACAACAGATGTTGCAGCAACGCGCGCACGCCTCCCTTGTATCAAAGTTGAAGCCTGGCCAGTAAGCATGTCAAACTGACATTGCAGGTGCTTTAGCTGTCTTTGCAGGTCTGAAGCTTCAGCTTTATATGCCAAAGTTGCCTCCCTGATGATAACAAGACATCCATAAGGAACAGAAGTAAAAATCCAAAATCTTGCTAAGACATTATATCCAGAAAAGATCTAGACAAGTTAGTTCAGGTGTATAATATGAATTAAATTTTTGACTTCTTAGATCGACATATACAGTACTAGTCATCAATTAGTCAGAAAGTAAAAAAGAAATTATTGTACATAAGGTCCATACTGACGGAGCTTTTAGGATCTATATCTTTTTTCACACCCAAAGAAATCAATAGGAATCATTGCGTAATTCCAAAAGACGTGGCATTTATTTCCTATAGCCAAAACGAACCCCATTCTAGCAACTTGGCGGTTGGGGGGGGGGGGGGGAGGTCAAATTGCCCCTTTCCTTGAACTCACAAAAACAGCCACATCCCATTCTTCCATTTGAAAACTGCATGCCCATCCAAAATACCCACTTGAAGCAACCAACCAGCATTTCCAAGTAAATCAGCCGTTTCATCAGGAAATAGCAAATTTCTTTGGCTTCTCTAGACTCCTGGGGTGTTCAAAGTTAATCAGGGTTGCTCACAGCATCCACTAGAGAGGTCACAAGATTGATGATTCATTGTAGTTCTCCTCCATTTCTCTAAACTAGTATTGTGAATGTGTGTTATGCAGATCATTATGATCATTGCATTGCATTGCATTATCTTTTTCAATGATGAATAAAAGACCAGCCACTTGACAGTTTTCCAATTTAATCAAAACCAGTCATAAGATGATGAGTAATTCAATGATCCAATTGATGCTGCTATTGACACTGACAACCCTAAATTCAATGACAATGAAATAATGAATAATGAGGATGGTATGAATCCAACCCATAATTAATGATGATGATAGGTGATATTCTATTAGTGGATTATTATGTATTTTAATCGTGTGGGTTGTTAATTTTGAAACCTGTGACTTGTTCCATGGCATGTGAGTTTTTAGGCTTTTAACTTGTGACAGTAATGTATGATGATATGTTGATAGAACTATCCTTACTTCTGAAATCTAGATAATTACATATATTTTCAATCGTTTTCTGTCATAAGTTTTAGGATCTTAAATTTATTGATCATATCTTACCAAACATTATATTTACAGTAGTTTTTTTGCTTTCCAGAGGCAACTTTTGCTGGTGGTTTTTAAACCATAAATAATCCCAAGATTGGTCATGGACTATAGTAACCTTAGGCAAAGAACACCTTGATTACCTGTGATTCTCAAATGTCCCTTACAGTTTTTTTTTTTTTTTGTTGACAACACCCACTTACAATTTTCATTTTTTCTGTGCCCCCAAAAATTATAAATATCATTACATTTCCATTTGCCATCTCATTAGTTAACGAATTACACACAGCACAAATAAATGTCAACCTTATATCCTTTAGTCCTTCTTCAGTGCCAAAAACAGCCTCCTGGTTGTCTCTCCTGGCAGAAAAAGCTGAAATGCTATCAAAAGCAGAGTCCAAATCTTCCCCCTGTTCAGATAAAAAATTTTAGTGCCCGTTTCTCCAACTTCAGCATGGAATGAACGTTAGAATTTTGTCTATAAAGTCATATTATCAAGTATGGGAATGCACACTTGACCAGATTAAAAAGGTTTGAACCATCCATTTTACCAGCAGACCCCATAAAGGAACCAAAAGAGAGCATATTTTGAAAGAGATGCACAAAATATTTATGTCAATAATTTTATAAGCACGTTTCTTAGAAATAGGCATCAGTGAGCTACCTCCAAGAGCTTGCCTTCCTGCTTAAATTGCTCATACCTGAACCACAAGACAAAGAATTAGCCCAGCCAAAAAAACCTTTTGTTTTTCTAACAACAATGTTTGTGCGATTTTTCAAATGCAGGTGCAGAATTGCAATAAACTGCCTACCAAAGATGACCAAACGGGATACAACCATACAAGGGAACACAAGAAAACAGAGAGATAAGCATGATGTTATAGGGGAAACTGACGTCAAAACAGCTAAGAGAGAATATAAGAAAAACGTATAACTTCTTCCATTCCCAATCTGCAATACCGTTCCCTATTTATCTTTGGTCATATCTCTTGCAAATTGTTGCTGCTCAATCCCAACGCTCAACAACTTTCTAGCAGTCTAAAAAATGGGCCTCCTCCTCGCCTTACCGTGTGGAATTCCTCTCAGTATAATCTTCGGTGCTAATGCAACATATTCCCACCACATATTATCAGACTAAAGGAGAAGCATTTGCATAGTTAAATGCCATTTTATCCCACTAAGAAACAATAGATAAGTACGGGTCTTTAGAGTAAGGAGGAGAGAGAGAGAGAGAGAAAGGAAAGCGTAACTGGGAAAGCTCCGAGAGAGAGAGGACGTTGGAGGGGCGGAGGCTGGTGCAGATCCAATCCAGTATGGGGCGTGCGTCTTCGTACTGAAAGGGCCATTCGAAGCTATCAGGGTCCAATCCTTCGGCATCTTCGAACCCCAATTCAGCTAACAAGGAGCACAGTCTTGCCCCACTCATTTCGATGACGATAGCTGCTTCGGGATTCGTTCACTTCGGCTCGCTCAGATCTCCATTTCAAAGGAAGACGACGGAAGAGGGAGATACGGTGCCGGCCTTCAATTTCAATATGAGAGTGATGCTCTGATGAGTGAACAGGACGGAGGTCCGGGCCGGGAAAATGAAGTTGAATTAAAAAGCAACTTTAAATTACAATACCACCCTTCCTTTTCAATGCATCAACATTTTGGCTAAAAATCCAGTTATGTTACAGTTATTTCATATCCCATATGAATACAAGTCCATAATTTAATTTGGTGTAAACGGTAAAATAAGTAATTTTCTCATCTTTCTTGTAAAATTAATATTTAATTCAATTTTATGTATGATGGCAAAAAAATTAATTTTATATTTATTATTGAATTATTTAACAACATATGGTTTGGACTTTTTTTTTAAAATTGTTTCTAACTAGGATTTGGACACTCTCTTAATTTTTTTTCTGTTTTTTTTTATTGTTTTCCCATTCCTACCACCATTAGACTAACAAGTAAATAATAGAGATTTAATAATTTTAAAATTACAATTATAATATTACATAAAAATAACTAATTAAAATAAAAACAATGATTTTATAAATTAATATATATTTATATATATATATCAACTAATCATTTGTTGATCCAATTTTAAGGATGAGACATGAAGAGAAGGAAAAGGAGAAAAATGTTGAGACGAAGATCCAAATTTCTTACATTATTACTTCTCTTCTCTGGTTGTTGAAACAAAAACTACATGTGTGGAGGGTGGGGAGAAGATTGAAAGAGTGTTTGTAGAAGACAAAGGTTCTTTACGGTAAGCCTACTTGGAGAGTGAGCCATCGTTGAGAGAAGACGGCTGCGCCGGATCCTCACTGCTAAATGATCGCGCCCCCTCCTCAAGAGGAGTTCAATCAACCGGCATGAAGCAGCTAACACAATCAGTCATCATCGGGGTCAAGCTAATGCCTACGTTCCAGTGCCTTAATGCGTCACAAGCCATGGCTACTTGGCTCGGTAGCAAAGGGGAGGTGGTAACGCTAGGGTCTTATATACATTGCATTCTATTCATAATATATGATGTGGGACTCTGTCTCCACTTGTGCAGCGACCTTTCAATATATATACTCCATTACTTACGTTTTTCTTCTCTGGTTTCCACGCTCAAGTCCTTGTCTTTCCTTTCGTTGTTCTCTCGTTTTGTTCTTGTGTTTCTGGGTCTCGACTTTTCTTTCTCTTTCTCGCAAAAGATTTTCAATTTTTTTCCCCTACATGGCTGATGTTCCAGAAGGAGGGTCTGAAGCTCTGAATCTGCAGCCCTTGATCTGCTTAAGCATTAAAATAATGGCGGAGCTTGGGAAGGAGAGAAATTGGGAACGGTTTCACAGCTCCAGCCTTCAGGAATCTTCTTATTACCCTGGTATGCTTCTTATTTCTCAAAACCCCCCATATGTTGGAACTTTCCTTCTGGTTTTAGTTGCACCTTTATTTTATGTGCTTTTTCTTTCTATAACGTTGGAATATAATACATCAACTAAAATAATGATTTTAAAAATATTTTTATAGTGTACGAAATGAATATATAAATGAATTTGTTTTTATTTATAAAAAAGTGCTTCTAAGAAGTATTTAGCTGGTGTATTCGGCGGCTCCCTATTCAGTGCTATGCACGGTTCCTTGGTAACTTCTAGTTTGATCAGGGAAACCACAGAAAATGAATCTGCTAATGAAGGTTACAGATTTGGTCAAGAGGAATAAACCTATAATATTGTAGCTGCTCATGGTTATTTTGGCCGATTGATCTTCCAATATGCTAGTTTCAACAATTCTCGTTCTTTACATTTCTTCCTGGCTGCTTGGCCTGTAGTAGGTATCTGGTTTACCGCGTTAGGTATCAGTACTATGGCTTTCAATTTAAATGGTTTCAATTTCAACCAATCAGTAGTTGATAGTCAATCTAAACACCCCCTAAAGCAACATGTCATTTGGAATAGGTAAATGTACGACAAATGTATATAACTTATATTTAATGTACGTAAGTTTTAATCATTTATAAATTACAAGACAACTTTACTCCCTTGTTTATTTTATATAGTATAAAATCATTTAAAATAAACTAAACTAAACATCTTAGGAGACAAAAAGCATATGACTACTGGCACACACAAATGGATTTTTTTTTTTTGGTCGAATCTGCAAACATTGATAGCCATGTACTCTTTCAGAGTCGCTCTAAACCAGAAAATAGAGTATGCAAGAAAAATATTTTGAGTCTGAGTTTCCATATGTATTTTTCATCAGTTTTTTTTTATCTTATTTTCTTTTCTTCAATTTTTCCCAGGGAAAACCTGGGGACAGGCGGAAACAGACGGCAAGTATGTTGGAGTACTGATCATTTCGGATTCCTTACTAGTCACAGCCATATGCAGAGAGAAGAAACAATATTAATACGTTTTAAAAAATAAAGTAGAGATCATGTAAGTAGTGATATTCTTTCATGTCAAGTAGGTCTCGTACAAAGGTTTCTTATTCTCTCAAAACGTAATATGTACAAGAATGAAGGATTTAAATTATTAATATACCACTACTCCGATTCTTAATATAAAATCTACTTGATTAATTTAAAAAAATTAATAAAACTAAATAAATTATTTTAAAATATTTATATTTATTTTTAAAAAAAACTAATTTTCTTGATGTATAATTTAATAATACACATAAATATTTCAAAAAAATCATATCATATATGTTATAAGTGAGTACTTTACTTAGCCATTTCAATCTTTCCAAATTCGTCAATCAATCTTATATTAATAATCAAAGATAGTATTAATAATCGATCATGTTATAGTTTTTCCATTTTACAGAATCTGATATGCCTCCTCTCAACTCTTCTCATTGTGGCTAAAATATCGATCAGCATTCAGTGAATACTACTTAATTATCAAACACAGCTAGGCCCCTATGCATGCACGGATCTGTGCAAATGTTGCCTTGAATTACACAAAGAAATTGAAGACATCAAATCCCAATTTAGAAAATCCAATACTTCCGCATGGAATATATCAACATTAGAATTACGCCGAGAAATTCATATTATCAATTATGGCAATAGACCCTTACAAGCATAAAAATTAGTGCGTATAATGCATTTAGAAAAAAAGTAGAAGGGAAAGAAAGCGTATGAGTAAATAAATAAAGTAGATCTTATATTACATTCTATTGCGTTATTCTCTCTAACCGCAAGAATAATGACAATAAAGGAGTTAAATTAGAAGATTGGTGTCTTTATCATATTTCCTTTCAGATCATGGTTTTTCCTCCTTTTGAGGAAGGCCTTGGAATCTCTCCATCTTGCCCTTCGAACAAATCATCAGAAACTTGTAGAAGTCACTTTGGCAGCAGACCAGCAATAAGTATTGATTGTCGGGTTGATCAGTGAAGAAGCAGGAAGGATTGCAAGCCGCTTTTTTGCTCTTACAGGCAGAATATGATATGACTCCTCTCAACTCCTTTCATTGTGGCTAAAATATCGATCAGCATTTAGTGGCTGATTCCGGGACTCTGCATCACGCATATCAGCCCTAGCTCCACCATGCATGGGTGCAAATGCTGCATTGAAATATACAAAAGATAAAGAGCACTAAACCCAATCTAGAACTTGAAACTGTAAACAGGAAAATGAAAATTCATTTCAGAGTTTCCAGACTCACGTGGAAATGGAAAAAAAATAACATGTAATTATCAATTAGGATTATTATGAAGTAACATTTCCATAGTTCCACCCGACTTGATGACAGCATCATTCTAAAATTTAAAAAGCTCCCAACATGTTTGTCATTAGATTGCTATATGAATTATGTAGACAAAAAGTAATAAACAAAATTATTAAAGAATAACCCAGACACATCAAACCAAGTCAGCTATTGAGAGCTCCTCATCGAGCTAGTGCTGGGAAATTGCATTCAACAATATGCACATTTCAGCGGGCAAGTGAGCTTTGGAAGATAAGCCTAAACAGTAAGTACCCGCAATAAAATTCTTAAGACTGCCGCAGGCAATGCCAACCGAATACAGGTGTATATAAGCTTGAGCTTCTTTATAAATGACGACGCATGAAGTAATAAACTAGAAAATTTGACTAACCTTTCTCTCTCATTCTTCTCTCCCTGTCGTACTCAAATTTATCCCGAATAAAGTTAACTTTTTCCCAGGTATCACCTTGCCTATTTCTTCCAAAACTCTGGTCCTGCTTTAGAAATCAGTCATCAGACATAATAGATCACATCACATGCAAATATAGTGAAACATCTCTGCAACCAGGAAGAATTAGAGAATCAAAAACTGAACCGAAATCGCATCTTACTTTTGCCTCCGATCCTTGGTTCAACCAGGTATTGAAGGGGGCTAGTAAAGATATGAAGGTTAATATGACTATGGCCTAGGGCTCTGAAACAAAGGCCGGATTCAAGACTCAAGAGAGAGATGTTTCAATGACACAATAACAATGGAACCACATCCACACTTCTTATGCTTAGAAATTGCTCAAAATATATCTATTAAGGTAAATCAATCGAACATTCCTCAATTGATCTTAGAAACAGAGATAGCCGTAACAACAACAGACACCACTTCTCGCCCGTTCAAGATGGGGTTTAGAGAGCGCCATCATGAATAAAGACATAGGGTCAATACAAGTTTTGGAAGGAAAAAACAAAACAAAACCCAAAAGTAACGCCATATTTATACATAAAACTTAATGAAACCCAAAATTCAAGTAATTTTCATGGCACTTTCTACGTTGCCTCACTAATCAGGCCAAAACTCCTCATAATCACAAATCCACTTTGCAAGACTCTACAAGGGCGAGACATGACAAAAAAATTACAGGCAAAAATCATTCTATGTGGTATATTTAAAAGTAAAAACATTCAACTGTACCTGACTATGCTGCACATAAGGCCTCCTATTCCTGAAATGACATAGAAGAAAACACTACAATCAGACACCATCTCATTGATTCCATGAAATTCACAAGATTGACTTTAGACTTTAGAGTTTAAACCATTGATCCAATTAACCAAGAAAAATATAATAATACTGTTACATTAAA